GCAGCCCATTCCAATGCCTGAGAACCCTTTCAGTGAAAAAATTTTTCCTAATATCCAGCCTGAACCTCCCCTGGTGCAACTTGAGGCCATTTCCTCTGGTCCTGTCGCCTGTGACTTGGGAGAAGAGATCGATCCCCACCTCTCTACACCCTCCTTTCAGGGAGTTGTAGAGAGCAGTAAGGTCTCCCCTCAGCCTCCTCTTCTCCAGGCTGAATAACCCCAGTTCCCTCAGCCTCTCCTCATAAGACTTATTCTCCAGACCCCTCACCAGCTTTGTCGCCCTTCTCTGGACCCGCTCCAGCACCTCAATGTCTTTTTTATGGCAGAGGTGAGCCCCATGTGCCCGGAAAACTGCGCTGTAAGCAAACATCAACCCCTCTGCGCTCACGCCAAGAGACACCTTCCTGGAGTGTTCATTACAGAGGAGTAAGCTTTATGTACGAGCATATAATTAAGTGCAAGTCTTTTCCCTCTGGAGGCATATTTTACAGTACAAAAGAAATGTTCCTTCTAACCACGCACTGCATGTCTCCTGGAGCACCCCAAAGGCAGCACGTTCCCTCCTAGCAGGGGGACACAAACAACAACGCACACGCTGTGCGCGACATACGGGCGCTGCTCTCAGAGCCAGAGCTGTAACTACAGGCACACTGGAAAGCACTCTGTAAGCTCAGTGCCACAAATGCCATGGGTTAGAAATAGGGGGTAAAAAAAGTAAAATTAATCATAAAAAAAATAAATCAATATTTAAGCACTGTCTCCCACCCCTAAAGGAGACATGATGTTTCAGGAAGGGCTTCCCCAATTCTAGAGGTGGTTTTTGTCACTTTATACACAGATAATCACAACATTTTTCCTCTATCCAGCTGGAAGAGCAGGGACTTTGGGAAGGTACAGCAGAGTTACTCCACTGGAGCTTTGGCCAGAGCAGTCCCTTCTGTTTATCTTGTTGCTCTGGTTCCCCTGCCTGGGTGACCTTCTGCACACAGGAATATCACCTCCAGCCACCAGGCTCAGTTAACACTTAGGGAAGGGAAAAAAAACACCCCACCACCAAACCCTAAATCAATCCCAAGCAGGACCAGGTACACACCTACAAACCTAGAAAAGACCTGCAAAACACAAATGTTAACAGCAAACAAATAGTCCAAGCCTGATGGATCCCCATGGAATGAGATTTTGATGATCTCTGTAGAAAAGGACAGGCTGTACCCTCGAAGAGAGCGTGTCTGTACGCGTTCAGCTCTGACTTCAGGGGAGCTCAGCAGCAGCCTGCATCGCTACCAACAAAAATAGTAAATCAACAGCAGGCAGCACCTGATCTGCAGGACTGTGCATGTCAGCAGAGCAAGCTTTTAAGTTACCTGTTGGTGCTTATCACCACGTAACACGAGGGCCAGATATTAGGTAAGGAGTGTTTGGAACAGCCAGTTCAATATGCTTCACAACACATAGGTAGCCAAATACAGGCAACCAGCAGGTAACAAAACCATTCTGCTTGTGCAGTTTCCTCACAGCTAGCTCTAAGTGTTCTACACGGGGGAAGAAATCCACCAGAAGGCAAGGATTATTGTCACTGAAGTGTACCTTCATCACACAATGCAGTCTACAACGAGAGAAAACACCCTGAACAATGCTGCTTATGTTTGGTCCACATGAGAAATTCAAGTTGAATTTTCAACTCCTGAGAACTCCCACTTGTCTTTGTGAAGTGCAACTCAGCTACAGCCCCCAGATCTGAGCTGAGCTCATTAAACAGGACGAGAGAGTCCCTTGTCACTGCTTTCATGTGACTACTTTGCACATCTGCTGTGCTCTGAGGGGCCTTCAGCTGCTGGAGCTTTGAAGTTACCAAATTCCCAACTTTTCTGTTACAGATCACCCTTAACAGAGCACCATCTGTGCCCGCTTTGCCCGTAACAGAGACAGATCTCATACCTTTGGCATTCTGGTCATGCCACCGACCAGGATGACTTCACCGATGTCACTCTTGCTGACTTCAGCATCCTGCATGGCTTTCTGGCACGGCGCTACCGTCCTTTTGATCAGATCAGCTACAATGCCCTCAAACTGGGCACGACTCAGCTTCATGTTCAAGTGCTTTGGTCCAGAGGCATCCATAGTAAGGTACGGCAAGTTAATATCAGTCTGCAGCACAGGAACAGACACGGAGGCAAAAAACAGGAATGAGAAATGAAGTGGTCACATAGAGGTTTGAGATCAAGTTACAGGTTCTGTTCTGCCTGTACTGAAACATCTACTGCCTGTTCACCCTGCAGCCCAGCTTTTAAGCAGCAGCAGGCACACTTTTATGTTTGACATTTCAGACTAGAGATAGGAAAATCATTTTGTTACACAGCTCATGGTTACAACTCTTTAAGCTCCCATCTTAATACTGCGTTACTATGAGGTCTTTTATTATCAAGAGGAACAATTTAATTTCTATCACAGCCAGGAGGTAAGAGGTGAAACTCATTAAAAGTGACAACTTTAATCCCCTTTGTTGAGAAAGCCCACCTTCAGAGTGGCAAAATCTTTTGGGAAACGACTAACACTTCGTACAAGGTAAGTTACTTGAAGGAGTAACTCATGACTGTTCTCTAAATACAAACAACTCGTGTCTGACAGCTGGTCCCTTGCCATTTAACACAAAGTTCATCAGTGCCAGGGACCATAATCCCCACTTTTCATGGCTATTTGTGAACGATCTTGCAAATTCACATGCTGGATTTTTAAAGAAAATCATATACCGAACCCATCTTGTTCAAGTGCTGAGTCATGCTGACATCAACAGATGCTACAAACCTAAGCAATTAAAAATGTTAATGCTTTAAGCTCTGGAGATTAAGTTTACACAAGAACTAAACCCACATAACTGACCAGAGGTGCTCATTCACTTCATAAATGGCACGGTCAAAAATCTTAGGGGAAAATCGGGCCAAATGCAAGTTGTTTTCCCTTCACTGCTAAAGAGTTAAAGAATTCAGTTTTTCCTGGTATGAACAGACTGCATTTGCCAAGTCTTGAGCTAGTAAAACAGAGCCCGCTATGTCCCTGGCAGAACTATGCAGCCATTGTGACTGGCCTAAACTCCTTGCTACGAGCTCCCCACTGGCCAACAAAAAGACCACCATCAAAAAAAAAATAAATTAATGTTTATTCAGAACCTAGAAATTGGCAGAGGCCCCATTTCAATTACTATATAATTGACCTTAATTTCACTTAGGCAAGACTATTACACCCCCAACTTGCTGCTCCTCCAGCTCCTTATTCAGTAGTGAATAAAGGACATGCTTGAATGCATTAATATACAAAGCAGATGGAAAAGAAGAAAAAGAGCAACACATGCTCCCTTTTTTCTAGACAACTCTTCTATAGGCAAATAAGTAAAGAATCTTTGTAGAAATTATGTCGTTAGATAAATTAGCTGTTTCAGAGGAATGAGCAGCACCAAGGTTTCGGAAGTGCTTGCACGAAGCTGCTAGTGCTTCCAGGAACCCAGCAGTACTAGCCACAGCTGAATTCCCTGGTGCCCAGCACAGTTCTGAAATAAGTTGGGAACAAGGTCACATTCCCTGAAAGATCAGAAAATGTGGTGCCAGAAGAAAGGGAAAACCCAGCACCCGCTAACATTCTCAGCTTCCGACAATTAATTGTGCTCCTAAAGCCTACCCTGCTGAAGGCCTTCTGTTAAAGCCATGCCATTTGGTTACACAGAAGCTTGTTGTGCTGCCACAAGAAAAAAGCAGCAATTTCAGAGAGCTTAATACACTGAATTTTGCATTGGTTTTGTTTATCAAAATGCTTTACCGGACTGCTTTGAACCTAGCCACCTACCTGCACAGATGATGAAAGCTCACACTTTGCCTTCTCCGATGCTTCTCTCACCCTCTGAAGGGCCATGTTGTCTTTCATCAGGTCAACACCAGTCTAAAGTGACAAACAATACAGGTTAACAGACTCCCAGTTTTTGCACAGGAGTCACAGAGAGCTTCTCTTCATCACAGTTCACCTTCCTATCACTCTTGACTGTAAAGATTTGCACAGAAAGACAGCAGACTTCTGCTGATGTCTCTCACTTCTGGCAAACATATTTAGCATTTCAAAAGTATCTGCTAGGCCTGTCTGCTCTGGAAGTGATTATACAGTAAGCTTTTTCAAGCTTTAATCTGTAACTGATGCATTGCAGAATATAAAGACTGAATTAGCAAAGGAGTTGGAATTATATTGCAGTTTCCTACAACCCTGTATTGTATGCGCCTCTGCTGCAACATTCAACTGGGCCACAGATTTTTATTATTAAAAATAAGCAGACTATGCATAGGATAGTCCTGCTATTCTCTCTTCCAGGAGAAGAATATTCCACTTCAAGAAAACACACATAAGACCTGGAAGCCAGACTAACAGATGGCTAATACTCTTAAATTTCAACCGTGCCAAACCAAGTCCCAGAAATTTAAAAAAATTCCCATTCTTCTATAAAGTTGAGCGAGGTCGAGAAACAGCATAACATGAGATTGAATTCCTTACCTCTCTCTTGAACTCTTTAACAATGTGCTGTAGCAAAGCCTGGTCGAAATCTTCTCCGCCCAAGAAAGTGTCACCATTGGTGGACTTCACCTCAAAGACTCCCTTCTGGATTTCCAAAATGGAAATATCGAAAGTGCCACCACCCAAATCGTAGACCGCAATACTACAAGAAGAGATGCAGAGAAACATTACTTTCTAGACAAGGCTGTGTGGTTCAAAAAAATCATTCTCCTCAGGAAATGAAATGTGCAGAATTCCTGTTGCTGTCCACACCAGTTAAAAGCCTCTCCAAAGAGAGCAGTGAACAAGTAACACATTCCTTGAGCACCCCAAGTCCACGTGGAAGTCTTCTCTGAAAGATGTGCTGCACGATGCTTAACCTTGGTCATTATTTCAGAAAGGGCAGTTCCTCCTTCAAAAAAAGACACGTCCAATGACAAGGACAGGGGCACCACAATAATTATGAAACACATATTCCAAGATGTAAGGCTTTCAAAGCACTATAAGGAATATAAAAACTGCAACAACCCCCCTGCACTTATATAACCACCTGTGACAGTGACAGAAGGTCGAATGGAGCCAGGGAAGATGATGCAAGCTGTGGAAACCAGGCACCAGACCTCAGCACCAAAGGTGACAGCCCCTCACCCACTTGTCCTTAGCCACACCTATCGCTGCTACCAGTAAGAAAGATAATTAAATTTGACACTCAGCTTTGATGATTAAGTCGTAGCTGCAAGCGATGAAACTCACTTTCTTTAAAAAGTATGGCTGGCATAGAAGGGAGGTGACATTACCTAGTGCTGACTCACAGCCGTGAGGCTACTCTGGCAGAATTCCAATCAATTATTGTAAAAAACCAGAAAGCAGGAGATGCATTTGCACAGAATGTTACAGCCTGCTGATTTAAGAGAGGGTAGGTGTTACGAACAGGCACTTACACTTTGTCTTCAGACTTATCCAGACCATAGGCAAGCGCAGCTGCTGTCGGTTCATTAATCACCCTCAAAACATTCAAGCCAGCAATCTGCCCAGCATCTTTTGTAGCCTGAGGAGCAGAGGAGGAAGAGTGCTGAGCGCTCAGAGACACTAAATGCAACCTCTAAGTCTGAAAATGTTACAGCTTGGTGAGTACCTGTCTCTGAGAATCATTGAAGTAAGCAGGGACTGTGATCACAGCGTTCTTTGCTGAATGTCCCAGGTAATTTTCTGGAGGAAAAGGGAGACAAAACAGAAAGTTATTCTTCTAAGGTAAAAATACTGAATTATTATTACCTAGTTTGAAATAATTTTCCTGAACAGAGGCTTGCTACCCAAGCACTTGCTGCTTTCTGGGAAGATGCTGATGGAACTGTACAGAAATCAAATCCTTCCACATAACACAGAGTAGTCTGCAGACTTCTGACAGAGGAGCAGAGCACCTCCACAATTCCATCAGTGACTGGATGCCACCAGTGAGAGAGAACTTCTCTGAGAGCTTAACTTGCCTTTTTAATGTGTGAGACTGGAGTTGTTTTCCATTTCTTTGAAGTGTCCAACATGTGATACGCTTAAAACTTACTCGTTTTCATCCTACTTATAGTCTGCTGTTAGTAACATTTATACAGTGGAAATAATGCACATATACTAACTTTCTAACTATCTAAGAACCTCTCTACACCCTCCTTTCAGGGAGTTGTAGAGAGCAGTAAGGTCTCCCCTCAGCCTCCTCTTCTCCAGGCTGAATAACCCCAGTTCCCTCAGCCTCTCCTCATAAGACTTATTCTCCAGACCCCTCACCAGCTTTGTCGCCCTTCTCTGGACCCGCTCCAGCACCTCAATGTCTTTTTTATGGCAGAGGTGAGCCCCATGTGCCCGGAAAACTGCGCTGTAAGCAAACATCAACCCCTCTGCGCTCACGCCAAGAGACACCTTCCTGGAGTGTTCATTACAGAGGAGTAAGCTTTATGTACGAGCATATAATTAAGTGCAAGTCTTTTCCCTCTGGAGGCATATTTTACAGTACAAAAGAAATGTTCCTTCTAACCACGCACTGCATGTCTCCTGGAGCACCCCAAAGGCAGCACGTTCCCTCCTAGCAGGGGGACACAAACAACAACGCACACGCTGTGCGCGACATACGGGCGCTGCTCTCAGAGCCAGAGCTGTAACTACAGGCACACTGGAAAGCACTCTGTAAGCTCAGTGCCACAAATGCCATGGGTTAGAAATAGGGGGTAAAAAAAGTAAAATTAATCATAAAAAAAATAAATCAATATTTAAGCACTGTCTCCCACCCCTAAAGGAGACATGATGTTTCAGGAAGGGCTTCCCCAATTCTAGAGGTGGTTTTTGTCACTTTATACACAGATAATCACAACATTTTTCCTCTATCCAGCTGGAAGAGCAGGGACTTTGGGAAGGTACAGCAGAGTTACTCCACTGGAGCTTTGGCCAGAGCAGTCCCTTCTGTTTATCTTGTTGCTCTGGTTCCCCTGCCTGGGTGACCTTCTGCACACAGGAATATCACCTCCAGCCACCAGGCTCAGTTAACACTTAGGGAAGGGAAAAAAAACACCCCACCACCAAACCCTAAATCAATCCCAAGCAGGACCAGGTACACACCTACAAACCTAGAAAGGACCTGCAAAACACAAATGTTAACAGCAAACAAATAGTCCAAGCCTGATGGATCCCCATGGAATGAGATTTTGATGATCTCTGTAGAAAAGGACAGGCTGTACCCTCGAAGAGAGCGTGTCTGTACGCGTTCAGCTCTGACTTCAGGGGAGCTCAGCAGCAGCCTGCATCGCTACCAACAAAAATAGTAAATCAACAGCAGGCAGCACCTGATCTGCAGGACTGTGCATGTCAGCAGAGCAAGCTTTTAAGTTACCTGTTGGTGCTTATCACCACGTAACACGAGGGCCAGATATTAGGTAAGGAGTGTTTGGAACAGCCAGTTCAATATGCTTCACAACACATAGGTAGCCAAATACAGGCAACCAGCAGGTAACAAAACCATTCTGCTCGTGCAGGTTCCTCACAGCTAGCTCTAAGTGTTCTACACGGGGGAAGAAATCCACCAGAAGGCAAGGATTATTGTCACTGAAGTGTACCTTCATCACACAATGCAGTCTACAACGAGAGAAAACACCCTGAACAATGCTGCTTATGTTTGGTCCACATGAGAAATTCAAGTTGAATTTTCAACTCCTGAGAACTCCCACTTGTCTTTGTGAAGTGCAACTCAGCTACAGCCCCCAGATCCGAGCTGAGCTCATTAAACAGGACGAGAGAGTCCCTTGTCACTGCTTTCATGTGACTACTTTGCACATCTGCTGTGCTCTGAGGGGCCTTCAGCTGCTGGAGCTTTGAAGTTACCAGATTCCCAACTTTTCTTCTACAGATCACCCTTAACAGAGCACCATCTGTGCCAGCTTTGCCCGTAACAGAGACAGATCTCATACCTTTGGCATTCTGGTCATGCCACCGACCAGGATGACTTCACCGATGTCACTCTTGCTGACTTCAGCATCCTGCATGGCTTTCTGGCACGGCGCTACCGTCCTTTTGATCAGATCAGCTACAATGCCCTCAAACTGGGCACGACTCAGCTTCATGTTCAAGTGCTTTGGTCCAGAGGCATCCATAGTAAGGTACGGCAAGTTAATATCAGTCTGCAGCACAGGAACAGACACGGAGGCAAAAAACAGGAATGAGAAATGAAGTGGTCACATAGAGGTTTGAGATCAAGTTACAGGTTCTGTTCTGCCTGTACTGAAACATCTACTGCCTGTTCACCCTGCAGCCCAGCTTTTAAGCAGCAGCAGGCACACTTTTATGTTTGACATTTCAGACTAGAGATAGGAAAATCATTTTGTTACACAGCTCATGGTTACAACTCTTTAAGCTCCCATCTTAATACTGCGTTACTATGAGGTCTTTTATTATCAAGAGGAACAATTTAATTTCTATCACAGCCAGGAGGTAAGAGGTGAAACTCATTAAAAGTGACAACTTTAATCCCCTTTGTTGAGAAAGCCCACCTTCAGAGTGGCAAAATCTTTTGGGAAACGACTAACACTTCGTACAAGGTAAGTTACTTGAAGGAGTAACTCATGACTGTTCTCTAAATACAAACAACTCGTGTCTGACAGCTGGTCCCTTGCCATTTAACACAAAGTTCATCAGTGCCAGGGACCATAATCCCCTCTTTTCATGGCTATTTGTGAACAATCTTACAAATTCACATGCTGGATTTTTAAAGCAAATCGTATACCGAAACCACCTTGTTCAAGTGCTGAGTCATGCTGACATGAACAGATGCTACAAACCTAAGCAATTAAAAATGTTAATGCTTTAAGCTCTGGAGATTAAGTTTACACAAGAACTAAACCCACATAACTGACCAGAGGTGCTCATTCACTTCATAAATGGCACGGTCAAAAATCTTAGGGGAAAATCGGGCCAAATGCAAGTTGTTTTCCCTTCACTGCTAAAGAGTTAAAGAATTCAGTTTTTCCTGGTATGAACAGACTGCATTTGCCAAGTCTTGAGCTAGTAAAACAGAGCCCGCTATGTCCCTGGCAGAACTATGCAGCCATTGTGACTGGCCTAAACTCCTTGCTACGAGCTCCCCACTGGCCAACAAAAAGACCACCATCAAAAAAAAAATAAATTAATGTTTATTCAGAACCTAGAAATTGGCAGAGGCCCCATTTCAATTACTATATAATTGACCTTAATTTCACTTAGGCAAGACTATTACACCCCCAACTTGCTGCTCCTCCAGCTCCTTATTCAGTAGTGAATAAAGGACATGCTTGAATGCATTAATATACAAAGCAGATGGAAAAGAAGAAAAAGAGCAACACATGCTCCCTTTTTTCTAGACAACTCTTCTATAGGCAAATAAGTAAAGAATCTTTGTAGAAATTATGTCGTTAGATAAATTAGCTGTTTCAGAGGAATGAGCAGCACCAAGGTTTCGGAAGTGCTTGCACGAAGCTGCTAGTGCTTCCAGGAACCCAGCAGTACTAGCCACAGCTGAATTCCCTGGTGCCCAGCACAGTTCTGAAATAAAAATTAAGTTGGGAACAAGGTCACATTCCCTGAAAGATCAGAAGAAATGGTGCCAGAAGAAAGGGAAAACCCAGCACCCGCTAACATTCTCAGCTTCCGACAATTAATTGTGCTCCTAAAGCCTACCCTGCTGAAGGCCTTCTGTTAAAGCCATGCCATTTGGTTACACAGAAGCTTGTTGTGCTGCCACAAGAAAAAAGCAGCAATTTCAGAGAGCTTAATACACTGAATTTTGCATTGGTTTTGTTTATCAAAATGCTTTACCGGACTGCTTTGAACCTAGCCACCTACCTGCACAGATGATGAAAGCTCACACTTTGCCTTCTCCGATGCTTCTCTCACCCTCTGAAGGGCCATGTTGTCTTTCATCAGGTCAACACCAGTCTAAAGTGACAAACAATACAGGTTAACAGACTCCCAGTTTTTGCACAGGAGTCACAGAGAGCTTCTCTTCATCACAGTTCACCTTCCTATCACTCTTGACTGTAAAGATTTGCACAGAAAGACAGCAGACTTCTGCTGATGTCTCTCACTTCTGGCAAACATATTTAGCTTTTCCAAAGTATCTGCTAGGCCTGCCCGCTCTGGAAGTGATTATACAGTAAGCTTTTTCAAGCTTTAATCTGTAACTGATGCATTGCAGAATATAAAGACTTAATTAGCAAAGGAGTTGGAATTATATCACAGTTTCCTACAACCCTGTATTGTGTATGCACCTCTGCTGCAACATTCAACTGGGCCACAGAGAATTAGCAAAGGAGTTGGAATTATATTGCAGTTTCCTACAACCCTGTATTGTATGCGCCTCTGCTGCAACATTCAACTGGGCCACAGATTATTATTCAAAATAAGCAGAGTATGCACAGGATAGTCCTGCTATTCTCTCTTCCAGGAGTTTATTATTAAAAATAAGCAGACTATGCATAGGATAGTCCTGCTATTCTCTCTTCCAGGAGAAGAATATTCCACTTCAAGAAAACACACATAAGACCTGGAAGCCAGACTAACAGATGGCTAATACTCTTAAATTTCAACCGTGCCAAACCAAGTCCCAGAAATTTAAAAAAATTCCCATTCTTCTATAAAGTTGAGCGAGGTCGAGAAACAGCATAACATGAGATTGAATTCCTTACCTCTCTCTTGAACTCTTTAACAATGTGAAAAACAGCATAACATGAGATTGAATTCTGAGGAGACGCCTTACCTCTCTCTTGAACTCTTTAACAATGTGCTGTAGCAAAGCCTGGTCGAAATCTTCTCCGCCCAAGAAAGTGTCACCATTGGTGGATTTCACCTCAAAGACTCCCTTCTGGATTTCCAAAATGGAAATATCGAAAGTGCCACCACCCAAATCGTAGACCGCAATACTACAAGAAGAGATGCAGAGAAACATTACTTTCTAGACAAGGCTGTGTGGTTCAAAAAAATCATTCTCCTCAGGAAATGAAATGTGCAGAATTCCTGTTGCTGTCCACACCAGTTAAAAGCCTCTCCAAAGAGAGCAGTGAACAAGTAACACATTCCTTGAGCACCCCAAGTCCACGTGGAAGTCTTCTCTGAAAGATGTGCTGCACGATGCTTAACCTTGGTCATTATTTCAGAAAGGGCAGTTCCTCCTTCAAAAAAAGACACGTCCAATGACAAGGACAGGGGCCCCAAAATGATTATGAAACACATATTCCAAGATGTAAGGCTTTCAAAGCACTATAAGGAATATAAAAACTGCAACAACCCCCCTGCACTTATATAACCACCTGTGACAGTGACAGAAGGTCGAATGGAGCCAGGGAAGATGATGCAAGCTGTGGAAACCAGGCACCAAACTTCAGCACCAAAGGTGACAGCCTCTCGCCCACTTGTCCTTAGCCACACCTATCGCTGCTACCAGTAAGAAAGATAATTAAATTTGACACTCAGCTTTGATGATTAAGTCGTAGCTGCAAGCGATGAAACTCACTTTCTTTAAAAAGTATGGCTGGCATAGAAGGGAGGTGACATTACCTAGTGCTGACTCACAGCCGTGAGGCTACTCTGGCAGAATTCCAATCAATTATTGTAAAAAACCAGAAAGCAGGAGATGCATTTGCACAGAATGTTACAGCCTGCTGATTTAAGAGAGGGTAGGTGTTACGAACAGGCACTTACACTTTGTCTTCAGACTTATCCAGACCATAGGCAAGCGCAGCTGCTGTCGGTTCATTAATCACCCTCAAAACATTCAAGCCAGCAATCTGCCCAGCATCTTTTGTAGCCTGAGGAGCAGAGGAGGAAGAGTGCTGAGCGCTCAGAGACACTAAATGCAACCTCTAAGTCTGAAAATGTTACAGCTTGGTGAGTACCTGTCTCTGAGAATCATTGAAGTAAGCAGGGACTGTGATCACAGCGTTCTTTGCTGAATGTCCCAGGTAATTTTCTGGAGGAAAAGGGAGACAAAACAAAGTTATCCTTCTAAGGTAAAAATACTGAGTTATTATTACCTAGTTTGAAATCATTTTCTTGAACAGAGAGAACAGAGGCTTGCTACACAAGCACTTGCTGCTTTCTGGGAAGATGCTGGAAAGTTATTCTTCTAAGGTAAAAATACTGAATTATTATTACCTAGTTTGAAATAATTTTCCTGAACAGAGGCTTGCTACCCAAGCACTTGCTGCTTTCTGGGAAGATGCTGATGGAACTGTACAGAAATCAAATCCTTCCACATAACACAGAGTAGTCTGCAGACTTCTGACAGAGGAGCAGAGCACCTCCACAATTCCATCAGTGACTGGATGCCACCAGTGAGAGAGAACTTCTCTGAGAGCTTAACTTGCCTTTTTAATGTGTGAGACTGGAGTTGTTTTCCATTTCTTTGAAGTGTCCAACATGTGATACGCTTAAAACTTACTCGTTTTCATCCTACTTATAGTCTGCTGTTAGTAACATTTATACAGTGGAAATAATGCACATATACTAACTTTCTAACTATCTAAGACAGCAAGTCAGGAAAAATATGCATTACACCCTAATTTAAGGTCACAAACTTCTCTCAAAAAAAGAGAAGGATGTCATCAAATGCAGATTCAGACAAGAAAGTGCATGATGCAGTAAGAACGCAGAGACAGGACTTATGCCTATGCATTAGCCCTGCATAGACCTTACACACTGCATTGTTCTGTGTTCATTCTGTAGTTGAATTCATGTAACAACCAGGCCAAAAGCCCACAGACTACAGGGAGCAGATCCCTGCTGAAAGCAGAGGAACACCATCCTCACAATCAGATTCATCCCACCTAGGTGCTCACACACCATGTACTCATATTTTACTCTTGGGTGGAACTTTAGCAAATGTCCAGGACCTAACATTGAAAAAAAAAATCATCTTTGGATGAAGCTTCAGTAGCAATCTTTAGTCCTGCCCTCTGAAGACTCATCACTGGACACACAATGTTTACCAAACGAGGCTGGGGATGGCAGCTACTAACTATTATCTCCATTTATTATTCTCAGTCTCGCCAGAAACCACGTTAAGAATTGAAAGGGGAGAAAAAAATTCTCCAGGCCAACGGAAATTTGCCTTTAGTGAAGATTTAAAGTCACTACTGGTTAAGAAGCTATTCATTCAGCCCCAAAATTGGGTCCCTCGAACTCTTCTTTTTCTTGCTACATATCTAGCAGCTGAATAACAACAAAGCCACTCAAAACCCTGGCTGCCACAGCCCGTGTCCAGCTGCAGCCAGGGAGGCACAAGGGCTGCAGCTTACAAGGAAAAGGAGCTCCCCCTTCTGAGCGAGTGTGCGGTCAATTAAAATTGATGTTCCAATTAAAATGGAATATCAATTCAATCATTATCCAGTTATGGTAAGAGTATGTTTTAAGTAAAGCACTAATATCTTGCCAAAGATCTGAGATTGAGCAGCACTAGCCCTCCTTGGGGCTTTGTAACAGCCTATCACCATACCCTTCCACCATCTGCCCCATCCAAGGGCCTACTATACAAGGATTCCCACACCAAAATGTACCTTTATAGCTGCTGCATTTCCATTTACCACAGCCCAGCACCGAGGTCACACTTGTGTTCACACACAGCAAAGACCAAACTGTTACCAACCTGCAGTTTCTTTCATCTTCATTAGTACAAAGGCACCGATCTGGCTTGGAGAATAGAGTTTCCCATGAGCCTCCACCCAGGCGTCCCCGTTGGAGGCGCGGACAATTTTAAACGGAACGTTCTTACTGAAAAACAGAGTAATTCCACACTCAATTTCTGTATCAGCACATGGCACAAACCCCCTACAATTAGTATCAGTGGAAGAACATGCAGAAATTCTAAATAATACTGAACTTGCCAACAGCAGCCTCAGATCCAGGGAGTCCCACAAGTACCAATATACCACCGCTGCTTTTAATCAGCTACATCATTAATTCACAAGCCTTAGGTATGATCATACAGCTTTGATTGTAAACTCCCTCAAGAATGAGAAAAAACTTCACTGGCAGATGCTGACAGTGATTCTGCACAGCATCAGCAAGGCTTTTTTCTTCTTCACTGGAAATCATAGAATCATTGAGGTTGGAAGAGACCCTTGGGATCATTGAGTCCAACCATCTCCCCTACTCTACAAAGTCATCCCCTACACCATGTCCCTTAGCACTGCATCTAAAATCTTAAGATGATCAGCAATTAACACAGCAAAACACAGCTTGGAATATACGCAATGAATCTTTGCGATACTGAGGGCATAACTACTTCACCCAAAAGAGTGTTATATTTTAAAATACAGATTTTCATGTTGCACAGCATTCCTGCTGGTAGTGGAAGTGCTCTCCACCCTCACTTACATATCCTTCTTGACCTCAGAGTCGTCGAAGCGCCGCCCGATGAGACGTTTGGTGGCGTAGAAGGTGTTGTGGGGGTTCGTCACCGCCTGCCGCTTTGCCGGCATCCCAACCAAGCGCTCACCGTCGGCCGTGAACGCAACCACCGAAGGGGTCGTCCTGGCACCTTCAGAGTTTTCCAGCACCTGTGTAAAATAACATAAGATGATGCCATCAAAAACCACTGCCTCTGAGAATACTCACCTCCTAATAACGTTACTACAAGCTGGTATTCATTTTTGTACTTACTTTTGCTTGTTTTCCTTCCATAACTGCCACGCAGGAGTTTGTGGTACCCAAATCAATTCCAATAACGGCACCTTTAATTGCTTCTGAGCTGTAATGCATAGTATGGGAAAAAGAGAATTACTAAGAAAGGAAAATAACCAACTAGATAGCAAAAAATCCTTCTATACTGAAGACAGGATGTGATTTTTATTTTTCACCAGCTGTTGAAGCAAATCTGCATTGTGTTCTGACCTAAGGTGTTCCCTGCCTCTGACTTTACATAGGAATTTAACCTTGTGCCTCTGTACTCAATCACTTACAACCAAATCCTTACTTATTTAAACATATAAACACTATTCTTCACCAGAATAATCTGTACTACATATATTCTCTACATTCCTTAAGATTTTGACATAAAACAAAGTTGTAACTAACTCTGTCCCTACACACTTGAAGCTTCTTGAGTTTCCTTTGAGTTATTTTTGATGTACAAACAGGTTTGAAAACATTCACCTGGAGTCAAAATGCTAATAATAAATTGTATAGGTTTATTTACCACTGCTTAGCATGGAGAAGAGAATAGAAAAGACAACAGATTACTAAACCATATGCAGGGTTCTCTGAGCCAGAGCCAATGATAACAATATTTTTGGCTATCCTGAGGAGGAACAAATTAATGTACAAGTTAATTAAATTTAAAAAAAATGTAAATTAATGTATAAGCCTTTTTGATCCTGAGGAGGAACAAATTAATTTAATTCTGAAAAATGGGAGTGGCTCAAACATAAGGCAAATTTGAACCTCCTCCTCCTTCACAGGAAGTCTGTACTACCCTCTTCAAGGCTGGAGAGAACTCCTGAATCCTAATTTTGCCTTATAAACAGAGCCATGTTCTGGGGTGAAGAAAGCATAGTGACAGCACAGCAGGACCATGTTTATAACCAGGCTATCACTTTTTCACTCCCCAAGATGCTCAGTTGCTCTAGCTCCAGTGCAAATAACACAAAGCTTGATCTTAGAAGTGTGCAACGGCTCGGTTTGTCTGTACTAACCAGAACTGGGCAGTTTCCCTAACACAAACACATTTCCCACTCCGTGTCCTGAATCAGCATCAGCCACAAACCATCTGACCAAATTACACAACTAAGTGCTACTCTTTACCCATTATCTTTGCAACAAGTAAAGCAAGTAATTAAAATGCACAAGCTGCTTGAAATAAACTGTATCTGTAGTGAAACGGAGTCACATATCACCCTTGCTTCATGCCAGTGTAAACCAATCTGTTCCACCAATTTTTTAATTTTTTTTTTTTTAATCAAACAAATCTCAACAATCCACATTGTGTGGCTGCTGCTGCTGGCAAAACAAGGGGGGAAAAACCAATTCTTAAAGTTCCCCTGAAAAAAAACAACAAAACAACAAGTAAAGAGATGAAGACACAGCCTTAGAAAAGTGACACACATAAGCACTACTTTTATTTTATTGGCTTTGTTTTGTTTTGTTACTCCATCTCTGCCTCCAACAATTAGTTCTGGTATCAGGAAGAGAGTAAATACAAATATCAAATAGCCAAACATGAAAAACCAAGGAAATACTTACGCATATTGTCTGCTGGATGCTGCTCTGAGAACATTTTGACTGAGGCCATTCCAGAAAGTCTATAAAATAAAGACAGTCTAATGAAAATTTAATTTTAAACATTAAGTTATCTTTAAACCAAGACTTCCAAAAGTAGACAACAGAGCGATGCAGCCTACTATGATGTTTCATTTTTAAAAACTTATGTGCAAACTAAGGAAGAATTTGAGAAAGATTCAGACTGCCAAAAAAAAACCCCCAAGCCCAATTCATAGAATAATAAAAGGATTTAGATTGGAAGGGACCTTAAAAATAAGCTAGTTCCAACCCCTTGCCCTGGGCAGGGACACCTCCCACGAGGCCAGGTTGCTCAAAGCCCCGTCCATGTTGGCAATCTCTACGCTTATTTATCTAGCACAGCCCTGATTTGTTTTACCAGAACCGAACTATTTCCCCTCATACAAAATAGCCTACGAACGTGCTACCAGGCAAAAGACATTTCAGTAAATTAACTCTGAACCTTCAGCTTTCCACAAGCAGCAGCAGATAAACATTAACCCTGTTTCTCAAAGCTTTACGTCTAGTCAGCAGGAAATGATCTACTACATCTCCTGAAGAATCCGCAGTTGAGATTTTGCAGCAGTTTTTTTTTTTTTTTTTTTTGCTGCCATAAAGTCTAGAGAAATTAGAGACTAAAGTGCTCTTGAATTCCCTTGATAAACTTAATGTGGATACATTTGGAAAGAAGGATAGCAGGCAGCAAG